CAGTGTATAAATAAAAAGTGTATTTTCAAAATTAATAAAACAATAAACATTCATAGATGGAGACAATACCATACACATCCGGTGTAAGCTTTAATACAGGGAATGCTATCATATGGTGTTTATATTGCTTTATTAATTTTGAAAATACACTTTTTATTGATACATTGAATATCATAGATGGAGACAATACCATACACATCCGGTGTAAGCTTTAATACAGGGAATGCTATCATATGGTGTTTATATTGCTTTATTAATTTTGAAAATACACTTTTTATTGATACATTGAATGTTATAATTAATGAAAATTATAAAAACTATTATTTCAAACATCACATCATATTCTGTATGAAACGCCTCTCATATGTCTTATTGAAAACAATGTTATAATTATTATTAATAATTATTGTTTTATTAGAACTCAAACACGTGTTGGTTGTTGTCATCCATTGTTGGATCACTTCTTGTGTTTCATCTAATTATTGATCATTTGATGGACTCTTCAGTTGAAACTCATATTAAGTGCAAAACTAAACAACAATTGAATCAAAAAATGTAAACAAAAAATTCAATTCAATAGAGAAGTGAAGGAAATGTCTATAAATTACGTAAACATTTTTATCAATCGTTTTATCATTTATTTCAATACAAGTTTTAATTATTGATAACTTTTGTCACAATTTTCATAAATGCTATTAAAAAATCTTATAATTAATGAAAATTATAAAAACTATTATTTCAAACATCACATCATATTCTGTATGAAACGCCTCTCATATGTCTTATTGAAAACAATGTTATAATTATTATTAATAATTATTGTTTTATTAGATCATAAATATTAAACATTAACTGTAAATACAATTAAAATTGATTTATATTTTGTGGACATGTTTCTTATGGAGCCGAACATTAGGCGCATAGTGTGTCCTAAACTCACATTCAGGCCAATCGCAGGCATACGGCTTGACGTTGTTGTGGACATTCATGTGGTCAGTGAGCGTCGGTTTAGAGGAGAACTGTTTACCACATTCGGGCCAATGGCAGGCAAACACCGTTTTCATGGCGTCACTCGAGTGGACATGTTTTTTATGTATCAGAACACTCGGCCGATTGGCTGATCTATAATCACATTCCGGCCGATCGCACGCATAGGGCTTAACATTTTTGTGGACATTCATATGATATCCGAGTGTATTCTTATTTGCAAACTGTTTACCACATTCTGGCCAATCGCACGGGTATTTGTGTCCAGACATTTTGTGCACTTGTAGTTTATGTATCCAAACATTGGCCGAATGCGCGGTCCTGTACTCACACGCGGGCCAATCACACGCGTATGGCTTCACGTTATTGTGAACATTCACGTGATTATTGAGGTGTGTTTTAGCGGTAAACCTTTTACCACAATCGGGCCAAACGCACGCAAACGGCCTAATATTGTTGTGTCTATTTGTGTGCGCTTTGAGTGAACTTTTATTTACGAACCGTTGGCCACAATCGGGCCAAACACACGGGAATGGCTTAATATTGTTGTGTCGATACATATGGACGTTGAGTGCCTTTTGTGTGGTAAACCGTTGACCACATTCTGGCCAAACACATAGGAATGGCTTAATATAGTTGTGTCGATGCATATGGAGATCGAGTGCTTTTTGTGAGGCAAACCGTTGACCACATTGGGGCCAATGGCAGGGGTAGGGCCTCAGGTGGAACCATTTGTGCCTGTTCAAATTGTGGCCAAAATAGTTACAGCCCGGGAAATGGCAGCGCTTTTTGCACGCTTCGGGCGGCCGTTTGTGAGCCACAAACTCGTGTCTGATTCGTTGCTTTTCGGTGCAAAACATGTCATTACAGCCATCGGTTCCGCACTTAACAGTGGGATCTCTCGTATGTAAATCCAAGTGGTTTTGCAAACACTCATCGGTGGTAAACACGTCCAGACAATCGGTGACCAGACATCGAAACACATACACGCCATCCGAGCCTTTCATTTTGTCAAACATTGTTCGCATCACTTCTTTTCGGGCCTTTTTTAGTCTCATTTGTTGTCCATTGGATTCCCTCTGGAGTTGTGTCACAACATTTCGGTTAATTACACTTCCAGTGCATAACGGCTTCGACCGTGCGATGGCTTTATCGCAGTCTTTATCTATTCTTCTGGAGTGAAAAGAGAAGAAGTGGTGTCGAAATGAATCGTCGGTTCCGTAACTTCTTTTACAGCCATATATGAAACAAATGAATTCATTTGTATCGAAATTAAAGCATTTCTTTCTTTCATTTTTATTAAAACAATACTTGAAGGCCTCGGAGTCTAACGTTTCGATTTGTTGGACCAGTTCTCGGGCTCTACTTATTACCATCTCTTGTGATGATTGAGATGTCAATGCCTTTGAAGTGCTGTTCACTTGTGTTTGCAATTCATTAGTCACTGAACTCATGTCTGTATTCATCGATTCCACACAAATATCAATTGATCCCAACTTCAGTCTATTGCTGTTATACGAGTCGTCAACACTTTGATTCACTTCTTGATTAGATTGTTGTAATAGATTTGGATTCATGTCTTGATTATCATCTCTATTGTCGTGAATCTGCATTTGATGTCTGTTTCGTTGGTTTTCGGTGTGAAACATATCAATACATCCCTCGTATCCGCACTCAATGGTCGGATCAGTCATATGAAGATCTAAATGTTTATATAAATCCTGTTTTGATGTGCATATCATCTGACAGTCAGTGACTCCACACCTGAAGACTGGGCTCTCTATCATGTGTTGGTTGTTGTCATCCATTGTTAACATCACTTCTTGTCTTTCAATTTGTCGATCATTTGATGTACTCTTCAGTGGATCCTCTTTTTCGGTAACATTTTTGTGTCCATTCGTGTAATCTTTGAAAATACTTTCATTACAGGTGTGATAATCACATTCATTGACATCACATCTAAACAATTTGTTAATCATTTGATTATCACTCAAATACTTAGAGTCACTCGCATTCAGGTTATGAGTCTTCAGGCAATGTCTGTTCAATTGGTTACTCGTGTGAAACATATCAATACATCCCTCGTATCCGCACTCAATGGTCGGATCAGTTGTATGTAAATCCAAGTGTTTATGCAAACACTCTTCTGTGGTAAATATCATCAGACAATCGCTGACAAGACATATAAACACAGACACGCCTTCAGAGCATTGAATGGTTTGAAACATTCTTCGTCTAACTTCGTGTTGAACCTCTTGTGGTCTCATTTGTTGTCCATTGGATCCGCTCTGGAGTCGATCCGGAATAAGTATCACAACGTTCTCACCGATGGTTTTATCGCAGTCTTTATCTATTCTTCTGGAGTGATAATAGAAGAAGTGGTCGCGAAATGAATCGTCCGTTTCGTAACTCTTGTGGCACTCATTTATGGGACAAATAAATTCATTTGTATTGAAATGAAAGCATTTCTCTCTTTCGGATTTATTTAGACAATACTTAGAGATCTCTTTAGTGAAGGGTTCGTGTGATTGGATCTGTTCTGTCAGTTCTCTCGCTTTCCTTCTGACCATCTCTTGAGATGTTGTCAACACTGATGTCGTGTTCGCCACTGTTTGCGGCGCTGTATTCACGCCATCACCTCTTTTGGCGTGAATTATCATCTCATGTCTTATCCGTTGCTCTTCAGTGCAAAACATGTCAATACAGCCATCGGTTCGGCACTCAATGGTCGGCTCAGATATATGAAGATCTAAGTGTTTAGACACGTCATCACTTGATCCCAATATCATCTGACAGTCGCTGACACAACATCTCAAGACTGGGCTCTCAAGCAATGAAGACATTCGTTGTTATTATAATTGGATTCACTTCTTGTGTCTCACTTTGAAGTGAATGACAAAAATGTAAACAAAACTCAAACCAAATGAGAAGTGAAGGGAATGTCTATTCATTACGTAAACATTTTTATCAATCGTTTTATCATTTATTTCAATACAAGTTTTAATTGTTGATAACTTTTGTCTCAATTTTTATAAATATTTAAAAAAATCTTGTAATTAATGAAAATTATAAAAACTATAAATTCAAACATCACATCATATTCTGTATGAAACGCCTCTCATATGTCTTATTGAAAACAATGTCATAATAATTATTAATAAATATCGTTTTATTAGATTATAAATATTAAACATTAAATACAATTAAAATTGATTTATATTTTGTGGACATGTTTCTTATGGAGCCGAACATTAGGCGCATAGTGTGTCCTAAACTCACATTCAGGCCAATCGCAGGCATACGGCTTGACGTTGTTGTGGACATTCATGTGGTCAGTGAGCGTCGGTTTAGAGGCAAACTGTTTACCACATTCAGGCCATAAACACGCGAACAGTTTTTTATTATTATGGCCGCCGGTGTTCATATGTTTTGTGTGGACATGTTTTTTATGTATCAGGACACTGGAGTGATTGGTTGACCTGTACTCACATTTATGCCAATCACACGCATAGGGCTTAACATTTTTGTGGACATTCATATGATATCCGAGTGTTTGCTTATTTGCAAACTGTTTACCACATTCTGGCCAATCGCACGGGTATTTGTGTCCATACATTTTATGGACTTGTAGTTTATGTAAGTGAACACTCGGGTAATACGCGGTTCTGTACTCGCACGCGGGCCAATCGCACGCGTATGGCTTCACGTTATTGTGAATATTCAAATGATATTTAAGAAGTGCACTTGCTAAAAAGCGTTTGCCGCACCCTGGCCAATCGCACGCGTACGGCCTCACATTGTTGTGGACATTCATGTGACTATTAAATTGTCCTTTAGTTGCAAACCGTTGACCACATTCAGGCCACTCACACGCAAACGGTTTAATATTGTTGTGAATATTCATATGTATTTTGAGGTCACTGTTAGATACAAAGCGTTTACCACACGCGAGCAATAAGCACGGGTAGGGTCTCTCGCCGGTGTGCTTCCGCCGTATGTGAGACCGATCGGTTCCCATGTACTCACATCCGGGCCATTGACAGCGTTTGACGCCATAGTTTGCCGGCAGTTTGTGTGCCTCTAATCGGTGTCTAATCAATTGCATTGCCGTACGAAACGTATGGTCACAGCCGTCGGACTCGCACTTAAATCTATGTAACAAATAGTAAAACCAATGCATTAAATATTGCTCTCTCTCTCTCTCTCTCTCTCTCTCTCTCTCTCTCTCTCTCTCTNTCTCTCTCTCTCTCTCTCTCTCTCTCTCTCTCTCTCTCACCCGTACTCTTCAGTAGTTAAGTGTGTTTTCAGATGTCTCTGAAAATATTCACTAGTATTGCATTTACATTGACAGCCATTGTGTGGACAATGAAATAATTTGACAGTTTTGTGAATCAATAGATGTCTTTTTAAATCGTGTTTTCCTATGAATGCTTTACCGCAGCCCTCATGAGTACACGTGTGCTGTTTTGTGGTATGAGTTGATCGCAAATGGCCCACAAAACTACTGTCGTTTTTAAAACTCTTGTGGCACTCATTAATGGGACAAATGTATGCATCGAGATTCATATCAAAACATTCAAATCTTAGGCCTCTATTTACTTGTCCCTTTCCAATCATATCTTTGTTTACCATCTCTTGTGATGATTGATATGTCGATGGCTTTGAAGTACTGTTCAATAGTGTCTGCATTTCTGTATTCATCGGTTCCACACAACTATCTTCGGGTTCTTCGTTGACATCTGATCCCAAGTCGAGATCATTCATGTGTTGATCCAAGTGTTGATACAAATGCTGTTTTGATGTGAATATCATCTGACAGTCAGTGACTCCACACCTGAAGACTGGGCTCTCAAACACGTGTTGGTTGTTGTCATCCATTGTTGGCATCACTTCTTGTATTTCAATTTGTAGATCATTTGACGCACTCTTCAGTGGATTCTCTGTTTCAATAACATTTTTGTGTCCATTCGTGTGATCTTTGAAAATACTTTCATTACAGGTGTGATAATCACATCCATTGACATCACATCTAAACTGTTTATTAAGCATCTGATACTTAGAGTGACTCGCATTCAGGCTATGAGTCTTCAGCCAATGTCTGTTCAATTGGTTTCTCGTGTGAAACATATCAATACATCCCTCGTATCCGCACTCAATGGTCGGATCAGTCGTATGTAAATCCAAGTGTTTTTGTAAACACTCTTCTGTGGTAAATATCATCAGACAATCGCTGACAAGACATCGAAACACAGACACGCCTTCAGAGCATTGAATTGTGTCAAACATTCTTTGTCTAACTCCTAGTGGTCTCATTTGTTGTCCATTGGATCCGCTCTGGAGTCGGTCGGGAATATATGTCACAACGTTTGGGTCAATACTATTATCGGTGGCCAAAGGTTTCGGCCGAGCGATGGCTTTATCGCAGTCTTTATCCAATCTTCTCGAGTGATAATTGAAAAAATGGTCGCGAAATGAATCGTCCGTTTCGTAACTTCTTTGGCACTCATTTATGGGACAAATGAATGCTTTTGTATTGAAATCAAAGCATTTTTCTCTTTCGTATTTATTTAGACAATACTTAGAGATCTCTTGAGTGAAGGGTTCGTGTGATTGGATCTGTTCTATCAGTTCTCTCGCTTTCCTTCTAATCATTTCTTGAGATGTTGTCAACACTGATGTCGTGTTCGCCACTGTTTGCGGCCCTCTATTCACGTCTTTATTATCACCTCTTTTGGCGTGAATTATCATCTCATGTCTCATCTGTTGCTCTTCAGTGCAAAACATGTCAATACAGCCATCGGTTCGGCACTCAATGGTCGGCTCAGATATATGAAGATCTAAGTGTTTAGACACGTCATCACTTGATCCCAATATCATCTGACAGTCGCTGACACAACATCTCAAGAGTGGGCTCTTAAGCAATGAAGACATTAGTTGTTATTATAATTGGATTCACTTCTTGTGTCTCACTTTGAAGTGAATCACAAAAATGTAAACAAAACTCAAATCCAATGAGAAGTGAAGGGAATGTCTATTCATTACGTAAACTATTATTTTTCTCAAACAGTGTTTCCAAACATTTTTATCGGTAAAAATATTTGAAAAAATAACTTTGATTTCAATATTAATTAAATTTAATTATTATTTTGTGTTTTTAAATGTATTTTTGTTATGCAATTGATAGATATTTCAGTTAAAACTGTTGTGCTTTTTATTAAATATAATTATTTGTACAAAAACTCAATTTAATTCTTTGATAATGTTTATTAAATATCAAATAAATTATATTAAAGTATAAATTACACAATCATTATATTTTGTGGACAAACTTCTTATGTCTATATAAATACTCAAAACAAGTGGCCGAGTACTCACATCCGGGCCATTGACACACATATGGGCGCACATTGTTGTGGATATTCATATGATCTTTGAATCGCTGTAAATCCTTATAACTCTTACCACAATCGGGCCAAACGCACACATGTGGTCGCTCTCCCGTATGGACACGTTTATGCTCACTAACACCAGTTCCCAAATATTCACATCCGGGCCAATCGCACCGTCGCTTTCGTTGTTTATGTATAATCCGTTTCCTATTGTGGACAGCGATCTGATGAGCCCGTCGTTGACCCGGAGTGAAAAACTTTTCACTACAGCCGTCGCGGCCGCACCGGAGCGTCGGTTCGCTCAGATGAGTCCGCGAGTGGCTCTTAAGACCACCGGATGTCTTGAATGACTTCCGGCATCCGTCGACCGGGCAGTCAAACGTAGATCTGTTGGCCGAATGGGAGACCATATGATATTGTAGAGCCCATTTCGTAAGGCCAGTGTACTCGCAGTCTTTGTAATCGCATTTAAATTTCTTGTCATTTTTGTGGATTAATAAATGACAGTCGAGTCTAGCCTTATGAGAGAATATCTTATCGCACCCTTCATAATGACATTTAAATCGGGGTTTGCTGTGAACGTTACGTAAATGTTGACTAAATAGATCCCGCGTTTTAAATGCCTTCTGGCACTCAATTCCCGGACATATGAATGCCTTTCTCTTCGGATCAAAGCATTGATTTCTCTCTAATGTTTTTAGAGTAAAGGCTTTCGTGTATTGTGTCAGCGGTTCCGCTTCTTTGACTACCGATTCAATGCTCTCCGCATTGCATACACTGTCCGTCGAGTGTGTCTTCAAATGTGATATCAAATACCTATCGCTAATGGCTTTAGACTCACAGCCATTGTATGGACAATGAAATGGTTTCGCTTTTTTGTGTATCAATAAATGCATTTTTAAGCCGAGTTGTGTTTTAAACACATTCTCACAGCCTATGTATTCACAAACGTATTGCCCGTCGCTGTGAACGGACCGCAAATGTTGCTTAAACTGAACATCTGTTCCACAACTCTTGTGGCACTCATTTATGGGACAAATAAATGCATTTGTGTTTAAATCCAAGCATTTCTTCCTTTCGATAACATTTTGGGGTACTTTTTCAGACACCGATTGATTTGAGTGACACTTCATATGCCGTTTGTAATACCGGTGACCAAAGCCTCGATAATCACATTCATTGACATCACATCTGAACCGTTTAAGCGTCGAGTGGTGTGTCTTCACATGTCTTTTCAAATAGTAATCATTAATGGCTTTGTGTTCGCAGCCATTGTGTGGACAATAAAATGATTTAACATTTTTGTGAATCAATTCATGTACTCTTAAGTCGTACTTTGTTTTAAAGCCTTTACCACAGCCCTCATGAGTACAGAAGAATTTTTTTGTGGTATGAGTTCTCTGCAAATGCTGATGAAAGTATTGGTCCTTTTGGTAACTTTTGTGGCACTTATTAATGGGACAAATGAATGCTTTGAGAGTCTTATCAAAACATTTACTTCTTTTGGTCTTATTTTGTGCCAACAATTTAGACATCAATTGTTTTGATGGCATTTCCATCGAGTCTTCACTACTCTTTCTATTGATGTCTTCGTTTACCATCACTTGTGATGACTGAGATGTCGATGGTTTTGAAGTGTTGTTTATTAATGTCTGTATTTCATCAGTCATTGAATTTAATGAATATTTATTGTCAAACATGTCTTCATTCATGCCATCGCTGTTATCGTCAATACTTTGATTCACTTCTTGTGTTTCATATCTTTGTCTCATTTGTCGATCATTTGATGGACTCTTCAGTCGGTCTTTAAATTCAGTCTTAATGTTGAGGACAACCGATCCATACGTTTCATCACTCAATTGATCCAATCGTTGAGATAATGTCCGGAAGTGTTGATTGTCTTCTGAATCGATAAGTGTTTCATATTTTGAGTGAATTTTAAATAAATGTGTTTTCATTTCATTCAAACATTGAATTTCATGTAAAAGTCTATTGTTTTCATTCATTAATTCCTCCAAAATATCGTTTATATAAATAATTGAATCCATAATTGAATTCAAATCACATTTAAAACTAATTCACAATTAATTTGAATACAAATTAAGTGCAAAACTAAACAACAATTGAATCACAAAAATGTAAACAAAATTCAACTCAATTGAAAAGTGAAGGGATTGTCTCTGAATTACGTAAACAATTATTTCTCTTAAACAGTGTTTATTAATACAAACATTTTTATCGGTAAAAACATATTAAAAATAACTTTAACTTCACTATTAATTTAATTAAATTATTATTTTGTATTTTAAATGTATTCTTGTTATGCAATTGATAGATATTTCAGTTAAAATTGTTGTGCATTTTATTAAATATAATTATTTATACAAAAAGTCAATTGAATTCTTTAATAATGTTTATTAAATATCAAATAAATTATATTAAAGTATAAATTACACAATCATTATATTTTGTGGACAAACTTCTTATGTCTAAACAAATACTCGAAACAAGTGGCCGAGTACTCACATCCGGGCCATTGACACACATATGGGCGCACATTGTTGTGGATATTCATGTGATCTCTCAATCGGTTCCTATCTTTAAAACTCTTACCACAATCGGGCCAAACGCACACAAATGGTCGCTCACCCGTATGGACGAGTTTATGGACATTAATCCCTTTTCCCATCCATTCACATCCGGGCCAATCGCACGCTTGCTCTCGTTTCGGTTTATGTTTAAGCCGTTTCCTATTGTGAACAGCGATCTGATGACCCCGTCGTAGACCCGGAGTGAAAAACTTTTCATTACAGCCGTCGGCGCCGCACCGGAGCGTCGGTTCGCTCATATGAGACCGCGAGTGACTCTTAAGACCAGAGGATGTCT